TTTTTTTACAAATTTACTACATGTTTATTTATGATGACACAGAAAACCATGTAGCTTAAAAGTGGAAGCACTAAATGTCCATGAAGCCAAAATACAATCCCTCTTGTGGGCAGGGCTAGCAGTGGTCAGTTCTCATTGGCTACTGAGTTTTGATTGACAGTGAAGAAATGAAGACATCAGTGTTGTGTTTATAAGTGTGACAGTGAAAATCTGCAGGCGGTTTAAATTTACAGTAAAACCACATCGTTATAACACATCATATGTTGTAATTTAAACTGGGAAAATTTGGAGATATTCCAGATTTTGGAATTTACAGGACTTAAAGGGAATTAATTGGAAATTTGGGGTAACTTTATCATATACAAACATAAATATAAAAAGCCCCATTAAAATGTCAGTTGGTACACGTAGCATTGTTATGTAGAATAAGTGGCATTGTTGCATTGTTATGTAAAAAAACAATAATGCAATGCCATGCACAGATATATAAATCGTTAGCTGAACTGTTGAAATATTCTGGAATGGTAAAAATAGTTTACAGTTGATGCTGGACAAATTAATAGAAATAGGCTATTAATTATAGACTAATCTGCAACTTTTGCAACCCTATTTACAAAACATATAGCCATCTATATTGCTGGTGCATTGTAGTTTTGTCTAATGCTATGAGACGGTGAAGACTGATACTTAAAACAGCCTCCATTCCTGTACTTACTGTACGGTGATACCTGTCATGCTCAGTACAAAGAACAACGAACCTATGCTGCATATGAACAAAGTTTATTTGATAACAACAGTTCCTGTAGAAATAGTCCAACAAACAGAACAGCCTTAAATAATGTGTTGTCTAATGAAGAGTTGAGAGCTGGAGTTCTTTATCAATGCATCAAAATTACACAGGCAGCATGGACAGTGATTATGATATGATTAATAGTTTTTTGTTTTTTTTCTAGTTGCTTTTGACCTACAATAGCTTCAGGTTTTGAATGATATTTCTGATATCTTTCAGTTTGATGCCATTTCTTTGTCAGATTAATAGAATGTCACTGCTTTCCCTTGTTCAGTTGATATTTAGATCCTGTAGTGTTTTAGATGTACTGTTGCTGTGAGCTTTCTGTGTTTTCTGTTTTGAAGGCTTCAGGTCCATATGCTGAATGGAGCCCTTCTAGCGCTTCTCTTCCCAGTAGTCAACACTCGACTGGTGAGTATATTCCAACTAGGGCTGCACGATTAATCAAATGCTATTGTCATGCGCATTTTGATAGTAATGCCGGTTCTGTAATCAGCAGGAACTCATCATCACGTGCTTTCAGATGGAGCAGAATTTACTACACATAGCCGTAGTTCACTGACAAGTTACGCAAAAAAAATCGCAGACGATTTTATTGCGCGATTATGAAATCGAAGAAATCGTTCGCGATAATGACAGCTGTTTGCATAGCTTCTCAGTGAACTACGGCTCTGTGAGGTAAATGCTGCTCCATCTGAAAGCATGTGAAAATACCACATTTAATAACATATTTTTACTCCAAACTCACTTCATAACGTCAGTTGAGTGTTTGAAATAAATCCTTCTGTGAGATGATGTGGTTTCTTACACAGAATAAGGCACGCAACATATTTCATTTAAGCAGTGATAAAGGCATTGTATTATAAATATACTTTATTTTAATGAAAATTATAATAATAAGAACTCAGATAAACCGTATATTGCCGTAGTCGTGTGTTTATTAGTCATGTTGAATCAATGAAAGCAGTTGAATCTTCTGTTTATTCAGCTGCAGCGATAGGCATTTTCTGGGTTTCTTCTGCGAGGCGTATTTGGAGTTTCAGCACGAGAGCGCCCTCTGGCCTTCGGATGGAGATTTACTGCTGATCACAGAACCGTGCTTCACTGAAAGATACGCATGACAATCGCAGCTTCTGTCGAATCGCGATCTCGATTCCATTTCGATTTAACGTGCAGCCCTAACGGTAACTGTCTCAGAACTGCTAGAACCGCTTCTGTTTTTTGAGTGAATATAAAATAACACAATATGTTTAATATCTGTGTGAAACCTGTGAATGGCTCATTTAATTGCAACTCTTCATTTCATATTTTCTTCTCTGCACACTATTTTCAGACTTATTTGATGGTACTGATTATTAAACTCTATAATCAGCTTGTTGCAGCCTGGGAAGTGACAAAGTATTCAAATTCCAACTCATTCAGTAATGCATAATTTCTGCTTTCTCTCACAGTGGCCCATTCATACGAGTAGATGACTATCTGCTTCACAGGAATTGCGTTATGGGAGCAGTAAATATATTTCTCATTTGCACATGAAACATTTGTTTTTTAATATACTTTATCAACATTTATTTGAATATATCACTTTTTGTGTTACTGTTGTCCACCACAGTCTGACTCTATACCTGACCATGCAGTAAATTCTTCCCTGGCTTTGTTCATATGCTAGTAATTACCAGTGTTTTTGGCTCACCAGCAGTGTGAAATATTGCTGTTTTGCAGTACTTTCATTTTCAGCACCCTTTCATTTTGGAATAAGCGTTTGTAGCACTTCTTAAAGGGGTCATAGGATGCTACATGCACTTTTACAAGTTGTTTGAACTGAAATGTGTGTTGGCAGTGTGTGTACACAACCACCCTATAATGATAAAAATCAACCCAGTGTTTTTTTTTTAATCTCGTTAAATGTTTTCCCCTTTCTCAAATCGAGCCGATCTCAGAT